CATCGCAGTCAATGATGAATCTAGAAACTTTAGATAGTGGGGCAATACTCATTCCTATATTTGTAGTATTAAAAATTTTACATATAGTTTTTAAAAGTGTGTGTATATATATATATATATATATCATAATTATTTTCTTACAAACTTTTATATATACGATTACAATTAAAGATGAAAATAAATTAAGTCAGACTAGATTATATTATAATTTAATAAGTTTGAATCTAACTTTATTTAAAAATACATATTCTAAGTATGACTTATTTATCTGTCATAAATATTTTTTAAATGTTTGGTTAGAACTATAACCTTAAAGACCTACATTATAATAATTTAACACTAATAAAAATATACAAATAAATATGTTAAATTTTATAAAAATTTAATTTAATTTATTTATGATATAAACATGTTTTTAATATGATCTAATATAAAGTTTTAGATGATAATTTATTTTAAAATATATTTTATAATAAAAATTCTAAATAAAACATAAATCTTTCCATAATTTTTATTTTTATTTTTTTAATCAATGTATACAATAAATAAAAAGCACAAAAGGTAAACATGTATATCGTAAATTTTATTTTATCAAAAATTAATTTTTTTAATATATTACATTATATATGTGAGAATTAATATATATATATATATATATATATATACATATATATACATATATATATATACACATTATATATATATATATATATATATTATAATTAAACTTTTTAAAAAATTGATTTGTTATTAAGGAGTATTCTCACATATAAGAATTAATTTTCTTTGAAAGTTTGACAAACATCAAATAAATGAACATCTCCTCTGAATTTATATTTTATACATACGATAATTTAAATATATATTTATTTTATTAAAAAATATAACTTTTATTTTTAAATATATTATTGTTTGGATAAAAAATATGTATGTATTAAATGGTAGTGGGGGCACTTACCCCCACTACACTACAAGTGCATTCCTCCCTTATCGCAGTCCCAACCACAAGGAAAAGAAGGATAAAGCTTATGAAGGAAACAATATATAACCATACGATAAAGGTAATAAAAGCATATATAAAGACTAACACAACTCACAACTTAATAGTTTGCTTAACATTTATCAACTTTATTATAATCAACATCTCAACATACAAATATTAACAACTAATGCACTGTCACACATGTCAACTGAGGAAATCTCTTACAACAAAGGTAAGCAATTTAAATGGTTTAACCCTACCAAATCATAGCGTTAGACCAATCTCAGCCAAGTCTAGTATAATATAGTGTTAGGTCTCAAAGAGAGTCAGGTATAGACAACTTAATTTGATTTATCAAGTTTTGCCACTTAAAGTATGGAGTATAATATTATGTTAAGGTAAAACAGTTTGGGTATGCATCTACCACAACATTAGCTTGCAACACTAAGTCACCTATGGGATTAGTTCATTAACCACCCTCCAAATACCACAACCCTCAAATACTAAGTTAGAGACCAGGTTTCTAACTTTGTACTTTACTCGGTTAGTCATTCAACTATGATATGGTTTGACTACCTCTATATTAAACCACATAGACCCTATAAGGAAAACCAACTTTAAAATAACATACTTCACCTCTAACATTTATGGATCTTAATTAAGACATGTATCTCAATCATATGTCCATAGCTTCACAACTTAGTAGCCATACAACATACAACTTACATCTTAACATCATCAATTAATCTATCAACTTACAACAAAGGTATACATCATTATATATCATCATACATACATCATGGTCATCAATATTCATCAACAGTTAATCATACAACAATAAGTATATAACATGTAGGTTGCATCTAGAACTACTCAAATGGTGTCCAACACCATCGAGATAGAAAGTTCTCTATCTCATTCACGCTCAGTGTCGTACCACTTGCACCTGCTTGATTGAGGTAAAGAGTGCCCCCACTCTCTCGTGTCTAGCGTAGTGAAACCCATGTCCAACTCTAATTAGGTAGAGAACCTCTGCTTGACTCACTCCCTATGTCACATTCATTAGCACCTAATGTGAAGCCAGACAGTGACGAGTCTCTCTTCTCATATCCAGAACCATTCATCCTATGCCTGACATAATTCTAACTTGAGACAGCTCTCTCCCCATATTTAGTGCCATAGATCCTATGCATCGCGTGAGTGATACAAAAACTCCTCTTTGGAGTCACACATAATGTCTTAAAGGCGTGCCCAACGCGATATCAATTCCCGGACAATGCAACACCCGATGTTTGTCAAATACATTTGAAAATCAGCAACTCCAACCACATGCAACACAAAAACCAACACATGTACACCACAATTAACTTAAAATCAACTCAAAATAGTACATGCAACCATCAACATTCCATCTTGGTCCAAATCACTCACAAACTTGCAAGCAACAAGATGTTAAGAGCAAGCTTCCCTTACCTCTTAAGAGAACCAAAATCTTCCAAGAAGAAAAGGGAAAGAAGAAGCTCCACACACTTTGATCCCTATATGCAAAGAAACTACTCATAATTTCTCATGATTGATGGCCAGTAACATAGGGGGAAGAAAGGTTTTAGGAGGAAGAGAAGGAAAAACTCACACCTTAAACCTCAAAATAGAAATATGAAACCATAAAAGAAATCCTTCTACAAGTCTTTGTGATAAACTGACATAAGTGTTACAAGGTGATAGGGTAGTAATCATATAAGAAAAGGAATATAGTTGGAAAGAAACTAAAAATTGTAAATGAAGGAAGTATGCGTAATTTGAAGTTAAAAGTTAACTATAAGCAATCATTACAAGGTGTCTATAAATAGACTATTGGTAGAGAATCACATTCAAGGTTGGAAAATTCTCTTTGTGAGTGAGGAAAAGAGTTATGTGAGAGAGAAAGTAAAATTCGAGCATTTCAAAACAAAGTCAACACTGAGTTGTCTTTTAAGGGTTCCACAATATCATTAAGTCTCATTTCTACAATTTTTTATTGCCTCTCAAATTATTATAGTGGAAGAAGACATATATTATGGTCTTAATATATATATATATATATATATATATATATATATATATATATATGAGGAATGGTTCATTTATTTTAGGAGTAAGTCTACCTAGACTTACTCCGTTCAATAACTCATGTTCTACATCAAATTTCAACGATCCAACTGTTGAATTTAAAATTTAAAATGCATAGATCAAGTATGCAAATTTTTGAAGAATTTGAAAACTATTTGATACTTCTTTTAATTTGATACTTTGAAGGTTTAAAAACATATTTAAACCTTAAAAAAATCACAAATGTTAAATAAAATTTTAGAATGATAAATTTATAACAAATATTGTAATTACAAACTTTCAAAGGGTTGTGCTTATGTCAAGATCCTTAGGTTGGTTAGATCCATTCGATTCAAGTATGCCAATTTAGGCTTTTGTTAAGTTGAGAGTTGAGACACGATAGTTTAACGGGCCCTTAATTTGTTGGCCCAATACAAATTCAAATTGTTATACTTTGTTTTCTTGAATCTTGTTTGTAAAAAGTAAAACAAGATTATTAATTTTTTCTTTTACATAAATAAGCTTATTAGTTTTTTTGTTTTTTTTATATGTAAACATAGAAAAGATTACAAAGATAACTATGATGAAGATCAAACCTAAATCACCTTACTTCTACTATCCTAATTGACAAGTATAAAAGCTTAAATTATTGATCAATAAGATAACACCCTAATAATTATTATAAAAGAGGATGATTTAAAGATATTTTAATATATAGTTAATTAATAATATAAAATATATTTAATCAAAGAATAAATAACTACAAGAGCTTTTTGACCATTCTTTTGGGTATATCAAAATAATTTACGAGAACCATAAAGGAGTTAATAAATTTTAAGTAGCAAATACTATGACTTTATATTCTTCTAGGTTAGTTTTTGAAACTAATCATATAAATGAAGTCATTTTTAAACTATTTACACTTTTAAGACTGTTTTACGCGGTGTCGTTATAGGTCATGACGACCTGAGTCACACATGTATTTTTTTTTGTTTTTATTTTTTAATGTTAGTAGATTCATTTCAATCGTATTGAAGTTGTTACAACTAATGACAATTTCGCCAATGTCACTATTAGATATAACAGCCTACTATTAACACCACATGTTGCTCTAATTTTTTTAATTGGATTGTTATAGTCCATATCATCTCCAATATATTTTTTTATTGGATTGTTATAACTCATATTACCTTTATTTTTTTAATTTTTTTATTAGGTCACTATAGTTTATATCATTTTTTATTAAAAATATAAAATTGAGATTAAATAATAAAACTATATTAATTCTACCAGTATTGCAATTAATTCTTAAATTTAAGGATCTTGAATTTAATAAAATATTATTTTTATAATAATAAAAAGTATAATAATTTATCAAATGTTAATGAGAGCAAGGTGATTATTAAAAGAATCCTTTTTATATATTAGTATAAATAAAATAATTAAAAATTATAAAAAAAATAAAAGAAATATAATTAAAAAATAAAAATAAAGATGATATGTACCATAATGATCCAATAAAAAAATAAAAAAATAAAAAATAAAAAATAAAAATGATATAGATCATAGACACTCAATAAAAATAAATAAAAAATAAAAATAATATGATAAAAAAAATTAAAAAAAAATTAAAATGAGATTGCTACTAACAATCCTATTTTTCATTTATTTATTTTTATATTTTAAGAAATCGTTATAGACCGTAGCAAATCTTTAAAAAATAAGAGGTCGCTGCTGCACGCTTCCGTTATCTGAAAGTCAAACCAGTTCAATATTTTCTCATTATAAATCTGTTGAGGTTTTTTCAGCCTTTTCCAAACAAGCCAGAAATACAGTTCTCATGAAGAATTACAGTGACAACATAAAAGTCTAACCACTTTATACTTTTTAATCAAGGATCGTGATTGGATCCCAACTTGAGTATAAAAAATAATGACCAAAATTATCATTTTATTTTTTATAGAGTCCACTCGATGAAAATGAGTTACAATCCTTCTCTAAAAAAGAAAAAAAAAAATACAACAGCAACTACATTGGTTGATATATACAGGCGACGTGAGAAAGACACATATCAAGCACTAATTCCACGTCCAGGGTTAAATTTTGATGATCCCAAGTTAGCTACGTGAAACTGTGACGCATACTTGTTAGAAGCAACTTCTATCACTGGCGGTTCATTCAGAAATGCCCAGCTGCTCTTGGTCCACCTAAAAACATTTTTATTCACATAATCTAAATCAAAGGGATTCATAATAATTAACCAATTGTGCAATTACAATCTGTAACTTAACTTACCAGCCATTTTTCTTGATAAGCTGCTCCAAACTTTTTTGGTCAACATCAACATCCATGCCTAAGGACTCCTTTATGCGGGCCAAGGCCACGCTATTTGACTTAATACAATTCTCCGAATCCTCGCATTTGCGGGCCTGATCATTATCCATAATAAACAATAAAAATATTACTACATTTTTATATAATTTTCTGTCAGGTAGAAGGAGGAAAAAATACATTGCTGAAATTTTGTAGACATGTTAATTTCAAAGTCGAACCTGAATAGTCTCAGATAATTTGGAAATTGCTCTGAGGTGTTCTAACTCTGTCTCCTTCTTTGTTCTCCAGTAAGCATTAATTTCTTCTTTCGTGAGCGATCGATTCCTCTCTATTGTGGCTGCAATAAAAAACTTTTCCCTAGTTAGAAATCACAAGGGTGTTTTATACTTAATTTTATTATCTCAACAAGAACTAAGGGTGTAGTAGAAGTGCATAACATATCAACACTAGTACTGGTTAATAATTATCCGTACCTGATTCAGGATCCAAGGTCTGAGAGTCCCATCCTGCCATAAGAGAACCCATTGTTGCTGAATTTCTTTCTTTAGCGATGAACAATTTCTTGATATGAAGGAAGGTGTATAAGCAATACTATATATATATAAGTGGTGGTGTAGTGACGAAGCTCTGGATTGTTTCTCTATTTTGTTCTTATCTCTAGGCAATGTTTTTTAGTGATGACCATTACCAATATGTCACATCCAAAACAGTTTTGGTTGCTAAGGGATAATGACGATGAGGGTGATCCTACCATAACGAAATAAATAAAAAATTGAATATTTTAGGCTATAGTTTCTGGCAGCACACAGACTTTAGAAAACAAGGCGGTGACATCCCCACGGATTTTGTTTTAGAAATCTACCAATACTTTTCCTTTAACCGTTGAACAAGTAAAATCCCCTGACGCACGTCCCATGAAAACGAGTGTTAACACAATTTGATAGTACAATTCCCGCGTTTTGTAAGTAAAAATTATTGTCACTTGGATAGTTTTTTTTTTCCAGTCAATTAACACAAAAACAGCTTATGAATTGTTTTGGTAAACAAGAAATGAAGAGGCAGTTTCAAGTTACCCCATAAATAAATTTGAGATTACAAATAATAGGACAGATGATGGATGTATGATGATGATGCAGTTGACACGAAATATCAAAACAAAAAAAATCCTTTTACAGCATCATGCCATTACCATCATTTATTTGTTTATTTGTTACAATGTATCCTTTCCCTTTGTATTGTCTCCACATCTAAACTTGCAACCATGACGACGAGGTTTATCTGGGTTATCAGGATCAGAGTCACTAGGTTCAAGCATAAGCGCTCTGAGGCATCTTCTTCGAACCACAGGCCTATAAGCCCTCTCTGCTCTGTTAATGCTTGCTTCAGCCTTAGGTTTCTCCAAACAAGGTTGTTTCATCTCCAAACAAGGTTGTTTCACCTCAGGTTGAGGCGGTTGGGGGAGAATGACACGAACACCAGGGTCTCTTCCATTGATGGAACCGTGCGACATGATGGAATTATTAATGCTCTGAATGTTGCTGTTAACATATGTCTTCCCAGCTTCATCTTTCTCTGTTGAAGTGCTCTTCCCTTCGGGTTTGGGCCTAGTTGACTGAGAACCCGCCACGTGCATTGTCACTCCTCTGTTGTCACCGGCGAGAGTTACCACGCTTACTGCTTTGTCATCCACGCTCAGTGTTGGGTTCAGAGATGAAATGTTATCATCTTTAGTGGGATTTTCGTTTCCCTCGTTCGATAATGACATGGTTGCTGATGTTGAAGCTGGAGTCACCACTTTCATGTCTTTCCCGCTAGGATTCGACGTGGCAAACATCATTGTTTGCTTCTTATCTGGGGTTTCATCAAGCTCGGATTTTTTTGGCATTGGAATTGATGGTCCACGCTTTATGTTGTCGGATTTAGGTTGATGGGGTTTGCTTTGTGTTTCCAAAGGGGCATTGGAATTGGAATTGGAATTGGAAGTACTATCCAATTCCTTCACATTTGGCTCTGAAGGTGTAGAAGGGGGTTCTGGCAGAGAAGACAATGGGGAGTCAATAATGACCGAAGGAGCTGGTGAGTGTGATGGAAGAGATTTTGACACTTTTTGAGGTTCAGTTTTTGGGGTTCCCTGAGGAGGAAGAGGCTGTGGTGGGTTAGAGGCTATTCCAGGAGGACGAAATGGTGGTCGATGAGTGGAAACAGATTTTGATTTTTGTTTTGGAGAAAGGGAATGGGATTCAGAGGAAGGACCTGCGATCCAAGGGATCCTAAAACCACATTGCTGCTTGTTGCGTGGCATGGATGGTGGATAGATATTGTTAATATCTGGAGTTACAATGTTACATATATAAAAGGTATTCTTTTCTAAAGCCGAACATTGCACTGCTTGTCTATATATACAGAACTAAGAATTTATACCTTGGATGCATTGGAGGACTTGTATTAGAATTTTGGTTTGACTTAACCGCGCTTTTCACACCGATTTCATTGGAAGCTTCTTTATTTGTCCCTTGCTTAGACTTTGAGATTTATGTTATAATCAAACGTTTGCTAACCATTCTTATCTTGTGGCGTACGAAAGTCATTTCTTTCGCCTCTCACGAAAGAAATTCCAAGTATATACTTCGCCTCTTTGAAGCTTACCGAGCTCATGGTTTTAGTCATTCATCCTCGTGCTAGAAATTAATTTCATTGAGCTTGTTATTGTACGCAAAGGAACAATACTTAAATTAATCATCCCTAAGTTATAGTGTTGGGAAAATGAATGTCAAGAACATGATCCAAAAGGGTCGGCAATTGCACGTTTAAGCAACCATGAAGTTCCTTTCTTCATATTCTCCTTCAAGAAAAGAATTCAGAGACAAGATACAGCCATAAAAGTTTGTGTCAATAATACTTAATTTGTATGTTATACATTATCCAGCACTGATTTTTATTTTGATTGAACAGATAAGTAGAATAACAAATGCTAGGATTTTACCGGTTACTGCGCCTTGGCCAAAACCCTCCAAGGGGTGCAATATTTCAACAAGTACAAGGGAATGGAATCCTTAACCTAAACAAAATAAGATCAAGTTTTGGATGTGTCACGTCCTCTCCACGCATGCCGCATAAAGGATTGGAGAATGTCACGGTCTCTGAGGTACTAATGACTAAAGGGGAAGAAAATATCGGTTCCTGGCTTTGGTGCAGAGTTGATGATTCTGTTATTAATGCAATGAAGAGTGTAAGATAGTTTAATTTGTTAAAAAGCATTCACTTTAACTTTGATAAGAAAATTTCTTAACTACCATTGTATAAGGTTTCAGATGGCTGATAACAACATTGGATCATTGGTGGTATTAAAACCAGAGGGTCAATATATAGCAGGCATTGTCACAGAAAGAGGTAAATGTGATTTCTTGATATACCTTTTACAATCTTTTTAGATATAAATTTAAAAAATACTTTTGAGAACTTCTCTATTAAAATTAAAGAATTTTTTTTTTCAACAAAAGAACTCTCTAAAATATTTCTAAGTTTGTGTCCAAAGAGACTTTTAATATCTTGTAGTTAAGATAGAGAGTTCACTACCATAACAAACCAAAATTTAAGCATTTTTTGAGTCAGATTGGTAAACTGAACCTCTTTGTTGAATGCATGCATGAGACAACAGATTGCTTGAAAAAAATAGTTGCACCAGGAAGATCTCCCTTACACACACAAGTTGGTCAAATAATGACTGATGAGGTAATTTTATGCTCTTTCATTTTTAACAGCATAATCTTGTGTTTTCACTGCAAATAATGGGGTTACTTGTGAACAGAATAACCTGATAACGGTGACCTCTGACACCAACATTCTTCAAGCTATGAGAATTATGACAGGTAAGGGTAACTATCCTTCCTGTTGGTAAAGTCTTCATTCTTTTAATCTTTTGTTAGAAAGCTTAAGGGATCCAATGTCACCCTTTTATTGCAGAGAATCATATCAGGCATGTTCCAGTTATAGATGGGAAAATAGTTGGTATGATTTCCATTGTAGATGTGGTGCGAGCAGTGATGGAGCAGCAAAGTGGAGAATTGAAGCGACTCAATGACTATATCAAAGGAGAATACTATTAGCAAAACAATTCAAGCATGGATGCGGATTTGTTGATGCCAAATTCATGTGCCAAAACAGAATACACCTTTATATTTCATAATAAATTAAATTGAATTTGATTATATTTTACAACTTTCTAGAGAGCATCAGATGAATAAAGTTTTCTTTATTTTTTAATTTAAAAAATGTTTTCCGCAAAAATAAATAATAAATAATAAATTTGATAATCTCCACTCGCACCAAAACATATACCATATTCGAGTTGTGACCCTAACTCAGTTGAAATATTTATTCTATCTTGTCGTCACACAAATATTGTTGGGTCCACAAATCCCATGAATGAAACAAGGTTGTGAGCGAAATTGAATTGATGTTGTCCGTTTCTCTTATTCATCCTTTTGGGCTTTCGGTTATAGACATGAGCATTGCAATGGAGGATGGTCAATGCTCAAACTTTAGGGATGTGCCATACCCATAAACCTTCGTCTTCATCTCTAAATTTGCGAGGCAACGCGTAATAGGGCGAATATGTTTGGAGAAGGTCCTTGGGGTGTTGAAAATAGAATGATAAAGATTGTTAAACTAGATTTGGGTAAAAGATGTAGATTCGTGATGGTGTGAAGTCAAGCACATTTTTGGCACAAATATGTCATCATCATCCCTTATCCTGACAGAAAGCAAGCAATAAGCATGGGGCAGTATCCCCAAACTGCAGGAGTCATTGAGAGTATATTTTTAGTGCTTTTTATTTATCTCATTCTCATCACCTCCAACACCCAGACATTCGACAATGGGCATCGAACAGATTCTATGCTCTACTCCTCCATATTAATCATGCATTACGTCCTATATTTCTAATTAACTATAATCAATTCATAAATGGTTTCATGTAAATTTATTCAACTTCTTCGTTACCATCGTCCTAATTAATCCTAACAGTTTAAATTTAAAACGTTGTGTGTGAAATCTATTACTCACGCATAATTCTCAAATAATAATTTAGAAAATTATTAATATATCTTATACTTCTAGTTCTATATCTTGTTTTTGTCACAAAGCACTTAGTCAAAAGTTAATATTATTTTAAGATTCAATAATCTATATATAAATATTTTTAATATTTTTCTTATTGAGATATAAAACAAGGAAAAAATAATTTGGAAGTTACAAGTTTCAAAGAGGAATCATGGTTCCTAACTTCATATTAACATTCGCTAAAAGCAACCAAACCTCAACCTAAAACAAATTAAGTTAGAGAGCAACTCTTGAAGATGATATTAGCTCACTTAAAGTGAGTAGGGTACTTGCTCATAATGAGTAAAATTTGCTTAGAGCCACAACAAAGAGAGCTCTAAATGAGTGAAGTCAAAGAGTATCTTTGGAGGATCACACAAACATGCTTAGAGCGAGTTACATGAATGTTTTGAGTGAGTAAAATTTGTTCAAAGCCACCATAGGACCGTTTTGAGCGAGTCAAAACAAAAAACACTCTTAGTAGATCATACAAGCTCTCTCAAAGTGAGCTACATGGACACTTAGAGCAAGCATATATAACCTAAAAGTCCATTAGAAAATATTATAAAATAAAGTCACTAGTAAGCCTATGTATCATACTTTTTAGGAGCATAATAATTAAAGAAAGCTCTTGTGAGGTCATTCTTGTAATCATGGATCGTTCAAAGGTTCCTCTTCTATTATGTAATTCTTAGTCATAAGTGGCTAGGTATCTACTATTAGATATTGATGTAGTTATTGTACTCATATAATCTTTCTTGTTCTCATTCAGTACATTGTTTTTATTTAGTTAATGACTTTTACTTGATACTTAATGATTGTTTTGACCAATACATGATTTTATAATTTTAACTAAGGCTGGAAAATCCTTTTAAAATTACGATCTAGATAAAAAGCTAGTAACACTTATTCTTAAGAATAAAGATAGACCTTATGAGTTAATTTTTAGGTTTATGACCTTAACACAAGTTGCTTAACAAAAATTACCAAAGAATTGAAATTTTTCCTAAACAACCTAGAGTTTCTCATCTAAAGAATTAATGTTTAAATATATTTGAGAACTATTGAATTAATTGTATAATTTAAAATATTGAATAAAAATTAGGAAAGATTTACATGGGGAAGGTTAGTGATATTAATCACGGACTGTTTTTATTATTATCTAAATTCTTCATTATTTGTTACATGCTTTCTTTTATGTTTACCATGGTATAAATTTTTATACTTATGTTAAACAATTTCAAATTTTCTTTAATCCATCTATTTAGTAATAGAATTAAATTAAACAATTATAACTCAAGTCACTATGGATTCAATAACTTGGACTTCTGTCCAATTTCCTACCTATGACAATTAGTATACTTGCCAAATATCTATAAAGTAAATGACGTTGCTGTTAGGGACCTGCATCCTATAATTGTTTAATTATAATATGGTGCTAGATTAGGTTTTTAATTTTTTGTTTTAGATTAATTTTTTTCTTTTATTCAATCAATTTTATTTTTTACTTTTATTAGATATCACTTGTTCTTTTTCTAGCTTGAATCTTGTTTGTGTGAGATGCAACTCTAGTCATAGAGTTGTACTATAATCCAAAAATTGAAAAGACTTACAAGGGAAACAACACTTTGTGAAGAAAACGATTACTAGCTAGCAAGACAAGGCACTTTAGCATCCCAGTTAATGGTAGAATAGAAAGAGCAACCCATACTCCTCCCCCCTCCTCCTCTTCCTCCTCCTCCACAACTAGAGAGGAGGACGATGACTAAGTGAGCAAATGATACTCTAAGGCTCCAAAAAGTTCAATAGTATAGCCAAATCCATGACTACAACAACTTGGTTTGAGATTAAACCGACGTTGCTTAATTTGGCATGGGGAATCAATTTTCTGGAGCTAACAATGAGGACCTCCACACACATCTCTCTAAGTTCATCATGATTCACAATACTATGAAATATTAGGATTTCAATCTTGAACAAAATTAAACAAGATATTAAACAAAATAGTGGAGAAGTTGCCACAACAAATCTAACAACTGCAATCTTGGGTACCTGCATTTGCACACTACATTAGTGGTTGTGAGAGTTGTGGAAGCAATATAGGGACATTGTGGAGCAGTGGTGGAGGAACCTCAGCAATAGGTTAACTACATGATAAATCAAGGAAGATATGAAGGTTATCAAGGCAAAAATTTCAATAGAGGGGGAGACAACAACATCAAAATTTTGGATGGAATCAAAATGGTGCAGACACTTCTAGTGTACATCTTCCAGCACCCAATACTAATCTATATGGCCATCAAACAAGGTTTGAGGACACTCTCAACCAATTCATACAAACTTCCACCACTAACTAGAAGAATACACATGCCACAATCAAAGAATTGGAGGTCAAGATGGGGACAACTCTCTATTCAATTGGAGGAGAGATTTTCTGGTAAGCTTTTTGCTTACACACAATCCAACCCTAATGGGAATTATAGTGCCATTTGTACAAGAAGTGGTAAAGAGTATGGTGTTAATAGAGAGAAAAACAAAAAGGAGGAAATAAATGGAGAAGATAAGGGAAAGAAAGAAGAAAAAATTGAAAAGAATAAAATTTTTGAAAAAGAGAGTATACAAGAAAAAGAAGAAGTAGTAGACGAGGGAGAAGGAGTGAAAAAGATGAAACATTAAGTGGCAAGAGAGAAGAAAATAAACATATAACAACCCTTGGTGAAAGAATTGTCATACCCTCTTGTACCTATAAAAAAAATAATAGGGAAATACAATATGTTTGATTCTTAGATATCTTCTAGTATCTTCGAATAAATATACCATTTTCAGGGGTTTAAGAGCAAATGCCTATTTATGTTAAGTTTATGAAGGAGTGGCTCATGAAGGAAAAGAAATTCATTAAAGAGAACAGAACGTGTCTCTCCAATTTTCATTCACCTCCAACAATGATTATGTTTTATTTTTGAGTTGTTATACTTATAATACATAGTTATTATTTTATTAACTTATATTTTTCTTTTCTTTTTTCTTCTCCTTTTGTATCATTCATATTTGTAAATAATTTTCTCTTCTCATCTTTCATATATCTTATATACAACACTTTTAATAATATTTTTTTTAATGTCTATATCAATATAATATATTAGTCATTATTTTTTCTCTTTTTTTTTAATTTCTTATTTTATCTTTTTTTTTCTCCTTATGTCACTTATATTTTGTATATTTCTTTTCCGTTTGAGGGTTAAGATATATACTTTTTATTATTTTAAAATTTCAAAATTAATTAACCTTCCATCAATTGTGTCATGTGTCATGTATAGTAGTTAATGCCAATTATGTTATATAATGTTACAATTAATAATGAGTAACTGATAATTTAAAATTATTTTTAATCGATAGTTATAATATCAATGATTGCAATGATTTGTAATTAATTAATAGACTAAATTTATTAAATTAACTGTCATTAAAAATATTAGTATATAATATTATTAAGTTGACCTTAAAAAATATTATTAATTTACAATAGCAGGTCAACAAATTTTTTATCAAAACTAAAATAATTAGCTTTACATGTAAAAAATTGTACACAGTATTAAATGTTTAAAATAATATATATCTCATACGGGTGATGATGACAATATTTATATTTCTTTATTTTGATAAAATATCAACAAAAATTATCTTATAATTTAGTTATAGGATCCACACTATAATAATATTAAAAAAAATGAAATGCATAATAGTACATTTTTTAAACGTAATATGTAAAGCAAAATATTTTAAAACAATATTAATAGAATAGCATTACAATTAACTTGTATCTTGAAATTAGTTATATATATATACACTATACACACATACATGTACGCATAAGTATATACATACAGATTTAAAGATAAATTTGAAGTCAAAATTATATAATATATAAAATGAAGAAAAAAAAGTTACTTAGAAAAAAAATATAAAAGTGATTTAAGTTTTTCTTAAGTAAGATTTTGTCAAAATATACATATATATATATATATATATATAATTTCTTTAAAAAAATTATCATAATAAAGAGATTAAATGTGAAAACTATAAAATTTATTAAAATTATATTATAATTTAAAGAAATCACATCTGAAATTAATGGATCAATACAAAAAAAATTTGAATATATGTATTTAATATTTGATATCACGCTTTGAAACAATGCAATTCATACAGGAGCAGAACGCGCACAGGACATTATTCTGGATTTCATTTGTAAAATATATTTATTTATAATGGTCATGGAGAAAGTATATTACTTACAAGTTGCAAAATAAGTGACAGGATTAATATTCCAGCTATCTTACTAGAATCATTTCTCCCACCAAAAAAAGAAGCTATATCTTACTAGAAAGAAGCAGAATATCTTAGCCTTCCATTGCATATATTGTTGGGGAATATATATCTATAATCTATAGCAGTGGGAATTGGTATCTAATCTCCACCGCCATGACGACCAGGCTGTAAAAATATGAAGAAATTGCAGTAGCTGAATGCATGAAAAGGTCATAACATGGACTCATATGATATGATACGATAGGGTACACAGTACACAGTACGCATACGGGAAGAGAATCATATCTTGTTGAATCCGTATAAAGTATTGGCCAACTTGCACAACCCCACTTCACTTTCCCTTATTTAAGGAGCTAGCTAGAGGCACAATATATAGCTAACATCATCAATTTCTCTTCCTGTGTGTGCACATGGGTTGGACACGAGAAGAGAATAGACGTTTTGAGGATGCTCTTGCAGTTCATGGCCCTGAAGACCCCAATCGGTGGCAACATGTAGCAAACGCCGTCGGTGGAAAATCCGTCGAAGAGGTGAAGATGCACTATGAGATCCTCAAGGAAGATGTCATTCGAATAGAGCGTGATCAAATCCCACTACCCAGGTACAGAGGTTCTCCCATCAACGGAAGACAGATTGACAATGAGCAAAGGTAAATGTTTTCAATGCTTATTTCTTTCTACTTTCTATGTCTATACATCACATGCACACGCACATGCACATGCACATGATCTATTACTTTCGATAATCACCCTATTCTGGCACATGCAGTTTTGTCGACTTATTTACACACATCTTAAAAGGTTGTATTTGTAACATTCTTGATCTGATTAAGCCTATTTTCTTTAGCAGGCGAATGAGGAATCTAAGTCTCCGATGAGGCGACCAAGGCATGTGCAACATATGTTGCTGTGCTCACTGTGTTGTCTTTTGTCTATTTCTTTTCCTAGCTCGTATATTCGCTCAATTGTAATTTGTAAGAAATATGCATGGAATGGAATTGTTAATGTTTAATTAAACGTGTTTAATGTTATTTTTAGCTACAAGTTTTAAGTGGAAAACCAATGATAATGAAATAAGAAGAAATGATAAAATTAGTTATGGAGAGTGGAGAAGAATAGACCATAGACGTATAGTTATACTAAAAATAAAATAGAGGAGAAGAAGGGGTGGCTATGGATTAAGGAGGAAATGAAGGGAACGGGAAAAGAGGGGGATGCAGTGTATATAAAAGAGGGAGTTGTAACGAAAGAAAGTTGCATTTCGTTGCCACCCATACAAGTTGTGATTTGTGAAGGCGTTTCCGCAATCCTATGGCGAAGATATCATCATTTGTTTTGGTATTTTCAGTGGTGTTGGGTCTGGCATTGCCTTCAGTGTTGGGCCAGGATGATTCGTGGAAGGATCTGTTGGGCCAGGGAGGCTTCACTGCAGATTCCATTGGCGAGGCCCAGAAGGCTATGGGTGCTGCTGCGGCCCAAGCAGCTGTAAATAACTATTTTGGAGGCTTTGGTGGAGGAGACGACGACGACTCTTCTGATGCTGATGATTCCGACCAAGGAGAAGCTTCTTCCTTGGCTGACCTTTTAGACTCCGCCGACAAGTAAGTAACATTAAGCAACTAACTTACTTACAACACTTTCTTAACTATACATATCTTCAAATTTTACTTTTTAAATAATACATAATCTACACTCTACACTCCTTATTTAAAAAAACATTTTTTTTATCTCTTATATTATTTATTAGATTCAATTTAGTTTCACTTTAATTAATTGAATCAATTTAGTTTCACATCTTTAAAATATATTTCAATGTTTAATTTTTCATTTTTTAAAATATATCTCAATGTTTGATTTTTCATTTTTTTTTAATACTTAACGAATGTGACACGTGTTATGTCACGTGTTATGCTATAATGACACGTGACATGATAACATAACACGTGACATGGTAGCATTACACGTGACATGATACGTATCAAATCTGTTAAATATTTAAATGGAGAAAATGAAAAATTATACATTAAAATACATTTTAAAAATATGGAACTAAATTGATTCAATTAAAGTGAGACTAAATTAACACTAATAAAAAAAAATTATATATTTTTGCCTTAAAAAAAAACTAAAACTAAATTTTGTCCTAAGATTAATACATGAATTTTTCATCCTTTGGGTCGATTGGTTAATTTATTGTTGTGAGAATCAGCATTAGCAGCGATGCAGGGATTTCGCCCTCAGGGTCAGTAGTAGACTCACCGGTTGGATCACCAGAAGATTTACCATCAGATTCAGATGAATTTGATGACAGTGATGCTTCGCCTGTGGGAGCCCCAGAAGGTTCATTCTCACCAGCAGGGGCACCGCTAAGTTCAGCTGAGGAGGAGGAGGAGTCACCTATGGAAGCACCAACAAGCTATGCCCCAGTGGAAGCACCCATAGAAGCACCAACAGAATCACCCGAATTGGCACCCACATCAGAAACACCTGAATCAAATGCACCCGTGGAGGCACCCCAAGAGGCAGAGGAACAAGACGAATGGGCACCAACATATGCACCAACATATGCACCTATGGGAGAACCAGATGATGAAAACAATGAAGACGATACACAAACGCCACCATCAAGTGCTCCCACTCAGCCACTTGACGAAGACCTATTAGATGACCTTGACGAAACGCAATAGCAACATTGATTCACATCACATACACCAATTACATATATATTATTGGAGTTCCAGGGTGATACATACTTATATATATTGTCATTGGTTGCGACACCTTAAAGGTGCCCCCTAACAATTCAGACCATCTCACTCACCCTACTGGGGCAATTGTTGTAACAAATGTGCCTAATTCTTGTTCCCATGCGTATATACGTGCCTACATATAAATGATATATATACTTTCTTGTGCCCAGTTTCATTAATCACACAGGAGTCCTGCTACGTACTTATATTAAATAATCGCAGTTGCATCTCTTATTCGTTCACAAAATGATGATATATTAAACTATTCAATTTAACATGGGCATGACAATGACATATAGCGTGCGCAAGGGCATAACAAACAGTCAATAATTTCTACCATGATATATCATATAAAAACAATATTTTGTGAAGTAGTAAGTCTTAACATCGACGAAGACTATGACAACTTCAGGTTCAGGGAACGCGCATGCATTATCCTATTTGTCTTTGGACCATACATATTTTGTGAGTAAGTCACCATAATTAATTTTCTACATAAAGTGAAAAAAATAAATGGAAAGAAAAAGTGTGTATATTTATTGATAGGAGTATATTATTATTTATACACAGTGAAAATATGCAGATTCAATTCACAGAATCAACACTTTTCAGACGCGTTACACACCAGTCGTACGTTAATCTCATAGATGTGAGATTAACGAGGTACGAGTTTGTGCACATAACGAACTAGTAACATCTCTTACCGTTTGTGCTCTCTTAAAAACAGTAACATCTTTTCCAAACCGCATCTCCATGAGAATCATCATTTGGCCTGCAAGAAGCTTCTCCTTGGCGTGCCATCTTTGCAACTTCCCAGAAGTGGTTTTGGGAACGCTCTCACTCCTAGCCAAAACCACCCATCCAACCTCCACCCTCTCTTTCTTCCACACACCTTCTCTAATTCCCTCACAAACCCTCCTCAACGAACCCTTGTCCACATCTTTTCCCACCCTCTGCATCTCCGCCACAAGAGCCACCGTTGAGGAAACATTGAACGCCGCAACGCAACCTCCTCTGAGTAACTTGGTGCAACTGTTATAAGCCGCAGTCTCTACGTAATGCGGGTGAACCTTATCACCGTTTTGGAGTTTTATGACGTCTTGACAGCGACCAGTGACGAAGAGATATCTTCTTTCTCCTTTTACGATGCCTCTGTCCCCAGTCCGAAGAAAGCACCTGCTCACCGTGTTTCTTAGTCTTCCATGAAACACCTCTCTTGTTAAACTGGGGTGGCCAAGGTAGCCAGAGGCGTTGCTTGGTGAAGCAACCCAGATTTCTCCTTCGACGCCATCCTCGGCTGGCTCCAATGTTTGTTCGTCGACAACCATGATTTCCACGTCTTCCTGTTCCACGTGTCTGAGCCTTGCAACGGGTAGCAGTTTGTTGTGAGTTGGAAAATCTAGGAAGGTGGAATATGCGTTAGCGGTGTTGTCACTCCTCCATGCAGTGGACACGAAGGTGCAATTCTCTGCTAAGCCGTAAGAGGGAGAGATGGAGGAAGGGCTTAAGCCATGCGGAGAAAAAGCGTGAAGGAATTGTTCGACGGAGTCTCTGTAGATGGGTTCGTTGATGATTATGAGGTTGTTCAAAGTAGAGAGGTTGATGGGTGAAGTTCCTTGGCCACGGTTGAGGACAAGAGGCAAAGTGAAAGAGGGAACGGGAGTGCATGTGGCTTTGAATTGGGAGATGAGTTCAAGCCAGAGGCTGGGGCGTTTGATGAAGTTGGTTGGGGAGGTGAGAACACAGGTGGCTCCTGATACGATGGTGAGCAACAGAAACATGAGGCCACAGTCGTGATACTGTGGGAGCCATGAAACGATGGTGGAGTTTGGATGAAGATCGTAAGCTTTTCTGGCTGTTCTAACGTTGTGAGCAGCAGAACCGGCAGTGACAAGGACGGGTTTGGGGACGCCAGTGGCACCAGACGTGTACTGAACCAAATAAACGTCGTCTGCTTTGCAACCACTGTATGTGAGGGAAGGAGCGTTGTCTTTACCATGTTTGAGTTGGTCGATGGAAATCCAGCGGATGGATTGTAACATGTGAGAGAGTTTGTTGTTGTTGGGAGGAGAAGAGAGGTAGTGTTGAATGCTTGATATGTAGTGAGAGTGGGCTACGGCAGCTTTGGGCTTGGTTTGTGAAATGGCTCTTATGAGGTGGTGATAGTTTTCGTTAGCGAAAGAAGGGTGAGGAGGGATGAGGGGGACGCTCAGAAGACCAGCTCTTTGACAGGCGAAGATGACCTCAACGAGGTCTAGTCCTGGAGAGCACAGAAGCAGGACTGTGTCACCTCTTTCTAATGGGCCCAGCAACTCAGAGGAGATGAGATCAACGGTTGCATTAAGTTGTTGGTAGGTGAGGCTTGTGGAGGTGTCAGGGTCTGGTTCTGGTTCTGGTTCTTCAGCCCAAATGAAGGCTGGTTTGGACCGGAAGGCTGGTAGCCTAGCCCAAACTGGGAGGTAGAGGTCAACCACGGGTTGGTCGGGGAAAGAGGGGTCATAATTCTCGTACTCGTATAGGAAATGCATTCTAGTTTGATGCTCGTAAAACTAGTAGCCTGATCGCATGCATATTTATAGTTAAATTATTCTAGAATTCGGCTGCATGATCCCAACGTGAAGATTACGAAAACATGAAGAAGGAATATAAGGATATCCGATTTGGATATCCCACTGTCCCTTAGCATTAATAGCATAAATCGTCGCTTTGTACTTGTTCCAGTCTGTGATTTCCGGATTACATCGCCGTCCCGTCGACAAATTTCTTTTAATTATAGGCGGATTGTCTCCCCAGTCGTCTGCTTGTGTATGTACATCTTTAACCTGTTAATCTTCATAAATTATTAATTATCTTGTCACGAAAACTTCCTCCATTTATACTATATTGGAATTTAACTTCTTATATCCATATACTCCATATTAATACTAACTATTATCAAATAAAATAATTATGAGATGATATCGGCGTAATGCTTAAATACTATTACTTTTAACTATTCATAGGATACAAACTGCATGACTCAAATCTACTAAATTCAGAACCTATTGCTATATGACACATCTATTAAGGATAGGAATTACCCGCATTTTTTTCTTTTACATTCGACGAATTTTATGTAACGCAAAGGGCAAATCCACTGGCAGGACGCAATATTAAGCATTAATTACATGATCCACAAGTCCAAACCACATTAATTACCATGCAGCAAAGGCAGTGAAACACTGCCCTCTAATCAGTCTTGTCCTACTAAATGACATAGGCCTCCAACAACTACAATTACTGATAAATAAAACAAAATTAAGTAGTGGCCTTTATTAATCTTGCACTGGTTTTATTGAACACAAGGCAAATCATACACTAATTCTTCAATGCTCCCAATGTCCAAGTTTCAGTACTAAGATCTATCATTAAATACATTTCACAGCGTGGCTTTGCAACTTCGCGTATGAGCGACAGCTAACGAAGCCTGATACAAATTTGGATAGCGATCATTGTCCCCAAGCACAGGCGGCCCTGTAGCATATATAACAGAAGAAAGATGAGATACGTGTGACAATTACATTATTACATTAGAATACATAATCAATTATAAATTTCCAAGAAGATGAAGAACAGAAAGGAAGGAAGCCAAGTGAAAGAGACGTACTCACCCTTGAAATATACATACTCCTTCACAGTAACCGCATTTAACTTTTAGTTATAAACTAAACATCAATAAGATTTTAAGGACATTCTTGACAGTTCGCACCAACAAAACACAAAGAAGCACATTACAACATGACTACAGCATACTATAAAACATAATAAAAAACAAACGGACAAAACATAGCATAGATAAGTTTACTCCAGAAAATATTTATAAAAAAGAAAGAAAAAATACATGCATACGTAGGAGAGATATCAAAACAACCAGTGGAAGAAATAACTTCACGTCATTTTTTTTGTCTTCATAATGTTGTGGCTAAGATTCCAAAGTCAACAGTCTTTTACAAACAAAATAACCTAGTATAGGTGTTGAGACTTTGCTTCAGACCACGAATCACATCAGAGAAAACGTTTCTTGCTACTGAATAAACACAAGACTAATCCAATCCAACTACCAAACTAAACACTAACTATTAACAGGCAGAAACAAAAAAAACAGTGAGAACCGATGAAAAATCTAAATAATACCCACCATAAATGTTCAATGTTCACATCAGATTAATTAATGAAAATAGCAACCGATACACTGCAACTAGATCGATTACTAAAAGGGCCACAAAGACCTAACAAAGCAAAGTTCCTCTTGACGCTTAATAATCACCCAAGGTACCTTGGGGGAAAATTACGCTGTTCTACATTAGAACTTGGATAATTAACAAATAATTTCATTTCAAACCACTTACTCTTGCAAATTGTAAAGGAGAAACAGCTGAACAAGAGGGCTCGGGCATCTCTTATGCATTAACTCATATCAAGTGACAACGACAAAGTATTTTCACTGCCTTCTCTATCTTTTTTTAAATCAATTTATGCAAAATAGGAACCAGTCTACCCTTAAATTCAAGGTGAAGCCTAACAAAAAATAAAAATAATTAAATTTGATTGATATATTGAGATCCTCGTATTTCTTCATCCCATGCAATGGTAGTGTACATTTCAGCCAGGAAGCTTCCAAGCAATAACCATATTGAACTGTACATCCCTTCAAGGTAAACACAACACAACAGCAATAAGGAACTCCTCTCAACATTTTTGCTTTGATGGGAAGATAACTTGATTCACAAAGCACTTCTTTCAATCCCAGCACCACAAGTCACAAAGTGACTATTCCATATTTAGGTAATCAAATTTTACTTATAGTATCACCACTTGAAGGCTTGGTGATACTAGTTCTATTTAACATGTTACAGTATGCCTTTCTTTATGATTTCTTATCTTCTATATTTGATATCATAAATGTTATAGCATGCTTTACTGAATGATTCTTGGTTTCATCACTTTTTAAATCTACATACAAGTAATGAAAGAAAATGCCAGCAAGTGTTTTCTCCCTAATATAATACAGCCAATTGAGAGATGTCCAAGATATTTTCCCTCAGTTCAAAAGGCATGAAAAACTATTTCTAACTTTGTCTTCATTATTTAATCGCAAGATTTAAAGATATATAAAATTGTGCATACTAAACTATGTTGTCAATGGCGGTTGGAGCAGCCCAGAGCCGCTACAGTGACTTTGTTGCATGGAGTTTCAATTTTGCAGCTGGAGCGGCTGCAAATCAGTGGAATGGATCAGAGTGGGTCTGGGGCAGTTAGCAAATTTTGTAAAATACCCTCACTTAATAAGGGTATTTTTGTCTTTTCACTTTTCTTTATCACTTATTGTGCGCCGACCTTGTGCGTGCATCACTCCTAACTTGTCATCGACCTTGTGCATGCTTGCCGAAGTTCTACTCCTCCTCTCTTCTTCTTGAGAGGTCCTCTTGTTGCAACTCCGGTGAGTCTCTCTTTTTTTGTTTGTAGGTTTTTTCTTCCTTTCCTTTTTCTGTTCCCTTCTTTCCTTTCCTTCTTTTCCTATATCTCTTCCTTATTTTCTTTTTGTTGGCAGCAGCAATTTATGTTATTCTTTATTATTTTACTAGTGCAGTTTTATTCTTTAGTGGTCAGCAGAACCATGGTCCAACCAAATGATTAATGAATGAATTTTAGATTATTTTTCTGTTTATTAGCTTTTATATATTATTAATTATCTTGTTATTTGATACATAAATATATAATATAATATTAGAATAGTGGTCATCCTGCTAACCTACTTTTGGGTTCGGCCACTCTACTCTGTGTTATCCAAGATTGACAACTACGATACAAAACTTGATAACAATAGAATCAAAAAGAGTATGTATGTTAATAACATGGAATGTATCTTGTTATCAAAGATCAGCAAGGCACAAAAGGCCCGAATTTTCTTCCTTATTAGTCAGACAGTAATAATTCATATAGCATCAATGCTACATCACAGTTTTCGTCAACCGTTACAGACCATCATGGTTCCTAACTGCCAAAGGACAGGTAAAAGGGCTTAAGGTATTCCTTTATGTTTTTCCAATTTCACTTGCTGAAAGAGAAAAGAAGCACCAAAAAAACATCTCAAGGAATTATAACGTTTAGCAACCTGTCTACATAACGAAAATTGAACAAAAACAAACCACAGAAATCATGAAATGCAACCATAACGTCTAAGGACTTACCTAATCTAAAGAATACAACATGCCTCCATGAGATGAAAGTCCATATCTTTATAACTACTCAACAAGTGTAATTAAGAAAACACAAAGGAAGTCTGCTCCAATAATTTCATTAAAAGAGAAACATCTAGAGACAATTAAAAAAAGCGCATTCCTGAATATTTCCAAAACTATATTAGCTTGTTTCATCAGAAGCAGGTCATTTCTCCAAGTCACGTTCCCACATTTTCTAAAAGGAAGACAAGTACCTGAGACCTCTCACAATTGTATAACATTTGATAACCAACATAGATAGCTATTCATTAGCAGCAGCACGAGCAATACTAAGGAAATATGCCTTTGCTAACACATTTTTGCAAAAACAATCCATTTCATTATGAAGTGAAGCAAAAAAGGAATTAAAGAACGGCAGGTCAAATGCATTTAATCTAAGCACAGATACCTACAATGGGATCAAACCAATAAATTAGGTATATGAACTGTAGTAGAACCAGCAATGTCTTACCCGAGATTAAACATGCTATTTATGGGATCCAGAAGCTGTGGCTGAGGAGGGTGCGGCTGTTGTTGCTGCTGTTGCTGTTGCTGGTGATGCAAGCTGGCACCAGTGGCCACCGCGACCGCACTGGAAGGAGTTCCCTTGGCTTCAACAAATCTCCACATATACCAGGAAGCAACGGAGCGATAGGGCCTCCACTTCTCACACAACTGGTCCATCTGCGAGGGGCGTGGCAAGTCCTCAAGGTTGTAAAGAAGCTGAACCCCTTTCCTCACACCGAGGTCGTTGATGGGTAGCACATCGGGTCTATGGAGAGAGAAAATCATGAACATGTGAACGGACCAGGACCCAATCCCATTCACCATAGTGAGCATGGTGAAGAGCGACTTGTCGTCCATGTTCACAATGGCCGAATCGGAGAGTATCCCGTTCTGGTACTTCCTCGCCAGGTCGTGGAGGTAACTCGCCTTGCGCCCCGAAACCCCAATCTGCCGAAGCTGCTGCGGCGTGAGGGCGAGCACGGTGTCGGGAACGACGCCGTTTTCGCCGCCGCAGAGGGCGATGAAGCGCGTGTAGATGGAGGTGCCGGCCTTGTACGCGAGCTGCTGGTAGAGAATGCTGCGCGTGAGGGCGAGGAAGGGAGTGTGGAAATTGTCGAAGGTTGGGGGTTGGTGAATGTCGATTAAAGGGGAGAGGACTGGGTCCGCGTTGCGGAGGAATCGGAGTGCGATCTCAACCTCCCCCTCGCACGACAGTGACCGCGCCACTATGCGTGGAACCACCGCCAGGGCGCGCGGCGGAGGAGGGGGCTTCGTGCTCCGGCCGCCGGACTTGGCGGGTTTGGGGGGCTCGGTTTGGGATTCGGAGGTGGAAGGGTCCGGAGAGAGCTTGCGGATCTTGCGGGGGCGGAGGGGGATTTTGGTGGCGGGGGAGTGTGTCTGCGGTGGGACATTGGCGAGGTCGGAGTCCGGCGGCGTGGCGGCGGGGAGGGGTTGGGGTTGGGGTTGGGGTTGGATTAGGGATTGTCCTTGACCTAGCGTGTGTTCGCCCATAGGAGTGAGTTTGGAGTTGAATGCGATGTAATGTATAATGGGATTTAATTTACGACTCTGATTTAAGGAAACTGCTTTGTACGGATTATGTTGTTCATCCTCACTTTCTCTGCTCTTCTTCGTCTTGGTCTCGCTCCATCTTGCCTTTGCCTTCCTCTGCTTTCTCTTTTCTTTCTCACACGCCACCTCGCGATGCGTGCTTCTGCTTCACGTGAACTTCTTCCTTCTTGTTGGCCCAACTCAATTCCAAAGCCCACCCTCCTAAATGGGCCCACTCCAGGCTGGTTGGCTTTCCTTTTTGTTTTTCTGGACTTCCAGCCCAATCCTCAACAAAACACGAATATCGGGGTTTCAAATGTGAATGCTAATATAATAATAATGTGTTCGGGAGACAAATCAACTTAAGTTCAATGCATTTTTTTATTTTTATTTTGGAGCAATCTCTTGAGTGTAGTTGAGAGTTCTTCGATCATAATTATAATTTTATATTAATAATATAAATTTATGCAATTATCAAAGATAAAACTCTAATTTTGATTGAAAATTTATACCTAAATTTTATCATTTCTATTTAGTGTTTTGAAAATTTTAGACTAATTTTCCACTTTTGAAAGATAGTCCAAATATGACAATTCTTTTTTTTTTTTCTTTCAAAAATATTTTTTATGAAAAATGGTTTTCATTATATTTATATAAATATTAGTATATTTTTTATCTATGAATATCGAATTTAGTATCAAGATCTTAAATTCAAGTTGGACATAATTAAAAGAGAGATTTTTATTAAAAATAGTTATCTAAATTTCTCAACAGAAATTAATTATTAAATAGTTATCTATTGTCAGTATAAAGTTTTTTGACACTAACAATCAATTATATCTTTTAATAATGTCATGTCACATGCTTATTTAATAAATTAAAAATAAAATAAAATAACAGTTAATCACATATATATTATTAGTGTAAAATAATTTTACACTAACAATGTATAAATAATTAACTCATAAAATAATTTAAAAAATATGATTAGTTATTAATGTAAAAAAATTTACATGATTAACTCTAAAAGTATTCGACGTGGCCACCAAAAATCATTCCTCTGTATCAGAAATCATTAACTAGCGTTGTCAAGTTTGTTACCTAAATTACTTCACCTGTTGTGCAGCTCCACAAATGATGATAAAGTCCAATAGTTCTAATAAGCCAAAACCCAAAGTTTCTTCGAGTATTACCAATCAGCATTGGAATTGGAATGCGTGTTTTTTTTATAGGAATAAAACACTTGTTAACTGTACCCGATAAAATAAAAGAAAGAAAAAAACTAGTTAATGACAAAACAGTGGTAGCTAGTAGCAAGCAATGACCCTGTTGTGAAAGCGATTTCAAGAATCAAAATAACAGCAGCTCCCTATGAATGAAACAATTTGAATGGCTTGTTGCACAAGTAGCTGTAAATTTTATGAATTTCCATTAGTCAAGTCATTTTCTGTAAAGGAAGACAAGAAAAACATGTCCCCTTTTAAAGGTATATATACTGTTTACCTGCTTTTAGGGGATTTTTTTGGACATCAGCTTGGCCAAATATCATTTTTGTTTTAAAAATTGGCATTCATCAATTCTAATTCACTATTTATTCAACTCGTGAACAACAAGTCCAAAAATTGGTAAAGTCCATCATCTTTTTAATTTTATTTTTAAACTAAATATATTCAAAATTAGCTTTAATATTTATTCTATATAATATACCTCTAAATATAAATATAAAATTATATTATTTTTAATTAATCATACTTATGAGTAGGGATGTCAATGTTAACAAACATGTTAAATATGAATAATAACTCATATTATTCTTTTATTGATAAATATTCATCTCGTATCCACTTTTATATTCATGCAAATATTTATTAAATAAATATTTGTATATTTTTTAATATTTTAGATAGCTATGAATATTTATTTTTAAAGAATAAGTTTTTTTTAAAATATTGTAATAATAATTTTATTTATTCTAATAATTTTTAAAAAAATAATAATTTAATATTATATATAATTTTATTAATTAAAATTATTCAATTGAAAAATTAAATTTTATTGATAAAACAATTTATTCTCATAAATTTTTAAAAAACTAATCTATATTATATAATTAAAGTGAATATTTGTAAAGTATAAATACTATAATATTTATACTTATTATGTTAATATTAAAGATAAAAAAATATTCATACTTGATATTTATTATATTTATTTTTATTTGTAATAAATTTTATCCACAAATATTCGTAAATACATTTTTTTTTCATTAGTCCGTAGTAGGGATGGCAATGGGGCCCCGTGGGGGCGGGTAATAGTAAATTTGTCCCCGTTCCGCTGGATGAAAATTGACCTATACCTACCCATATCCGTGCGGGTATCCATTAAGCGGGTATCCATGAATTTCTTGAATATCCACGGATATCCATGGATATTTATAATTTTTTTAAGAAATTCAAAAAATTATATTACAAATAATTTTAAGTTTATATTTAATATCATTAAAATATTAAAAATAAAAACTCAATATTAATTTTGAACTTGTATTTAACGTTAATTTTGTTGAAATAATAATAAAAATGCAAGATAATCAATAACTAAAGATACATCAATCTCACAAGTAAGTTAAAGTCTCGTAACAAAGCTACAATAATTTAATCTCATAATTTCAAACGAAAGTAAATAACTTAAAATACATAAATCTTATTGGTCCAATCAAAATTAGAAAATTAATCAAATTACATCCAACATAATTCTATAACATGTTTAACACATGTTGGTAACTTATTTATCAACCTCACTTTTGTAAGAAAATAAGATGAGAAAGTGTAGTTTTAAGATTATGTGATATAAAAATAATTAAAATATTTAAAAAATATTATTAAACGGGTACCCGCGAGTATAAATATCATCATACCTGTCCCGCCCCATTTATAAACGGGTAAAAAATTATTCATCATCATTATCTGCAGTTACCCAATTAGCCTATCTATTTATTATTCGAAACAGAATTTATCCGCAAATACTCACAGGTGTTGGTATTTTTGTCAACCCTAGTTCGTAGTTCCTGAAATCATGTGACCACGTCTGACACAGCTATGATTACTGCATACAGTACAACATACACCTGACGTAATTTACCCTTACAATTAATCTTAATCTTTTAACTGAGCAAATTAATGAATGATGACATTTTAATGATTAAACCAGGCCATCTAAGCACCCCAAAAAAAAGATAAAACCGTGGAGCGGAACATAAATTAAACTCTTTATTTTCGCAAAACTCATTTATAATTAAAAAAATTGCCAACAGTTTACGAATTAAAATTAGCTATATCTCGACTCCACCCCATTCAGAAGCTTCAGCATTCCAAAAGTTTCTTAGTTGATTTCGTCATCCTTTTATAAGAATCTTCTGGTCTCGATTTTCGAACATGGTCTGTCATTTTTTACTTTTACGTTTAAATTGATTCTTTTTCTTTTACTTTTTTTTTTTGTTGTTGTCAATGATCATTTTTTTCTAGCCAATTTCTCAGGCATCGCTTCTGGGATAGCAAATCCCCTGTCATTAATATCTTTTGGATCGG